CAGACATATGTAAAAAAAATGAATCTAATCAAAAGAACTATTTTGTTATTTAATAAGCCGTCTTTTTCTTCTCAAACATTTTTTTGTCAGTTTAGAATTTACTTTTCACTTGTATAATGACATTTTAATTAAATTTATTTTTTCACATGTCTCAGAGGAGAGTTCCGGATGTAAAAACTAGATCAAACTAAAAAAGTCGAACAAAAAATTTGAAACATATTAATCAACCCAGTTATTTATGTTGCTTTCAAATATGATATTTATTTGAAGTGAAATGCGTATTATTCTGCTTGAAAACTGTCGATAAAGTTCAAAATTGGCCCTCACGAATAGTCAAATAGGGATTTTATTAGGTGACCTACTTTTTTTTAGATCGTACAAAGCAGTTGGTTCTCTAGCACTTGAAATTCTCTCTCGATTGTTCACAGCTACGACCGATGGACGACTTAATTAGATTGAACTATGAAAGTCAAAAGTGGCTGATATGCATTTATATGCACTCTCGCTTTTTACAGTAGAAAGTAATTAAACTATTGAACAATCAGAAAAGGAAAACAAAGTTCTTAATATTCAAAAGTTAATATTTTTCTTAGAGATTTTGCTTGAACATTTCTTTTATGCAAGATTAAACATCGTTTCACAGACGATCGAATGTGAATGAACGGTTGTTTTCTATCATGCCTAGTGCAAAAATAAGAGAACGATAGGAACTGATTATCATATTAAGTACATATATGAAACAGAATTTCAAAGGATTATAAACTAATTCTGCTTATTATCATCAACTTAATGAAACAATTTATGATTAATCTCGATGTTTTTCATATTTTTGTTATGAATGTAAATAGATGAACATTAAGCAGAATCAATAAAAGTAATTTAGAAGATTGTTTCTAAATGAATGCAAATCTTATTTAAGTAAGAAGAAAAATCAATGCAACCGAAACAACAACAACAACATATATCGAGTGATTTATATGATAAGAATAATGTATTATTATTAGATCGACCATTAATTTTTAAAACAAGTTGCACATTGTTCTATTTTAGAAATTATTTTCATGTCATGTACTGATCGAATAATAAACAAAAGTCTCCGACCTACTCAATCTCAACCATCATAAGTACTAGAGATATGAAAACTTGTGTGGACATACATATTCTTCTAATAATGTAGATCAAAGGGCAAAAGTCTACCTTGATTATTTAAGAACATAGAGAATCATCATAGATGACAATATATAGCACCTATTGCCCCTTGGAACTTTGTAACTCTGGAAAATAACAGTTTTGTAGGTTCACCTACAAATCATTATTTCATGTTATGTTTCAGCTATCTGCACAACTAATTTTACTGAAGTCTGCGACTTCTTTCTAGAATGGTGAACAGTTGTCTATGACTATCGGCGTGGAGAAAAATCTTCTGTTGCTCTATAAGACTAGAATTCATTAATAATTCATCGGATGAAAGTCAAACGTTTAGAATAGCTTCTCCTGTACTTAGAAAATTATTGTCCATTAGTTTCAGAAACGAATTTTATACTAATAGGAAATGACAAAGTTATACCCATCATGTTGATAATGCAAAGTTGTCACTGACATCCACATACACATTATTCGAGCAATTAAAGTTCTATTTTTAACTAAGGAAAATCTCTAACTAAGCTCTAGTTGTATGTAAAAATATCAAGAATTAAACTGATATTTAAATAACAAAAGCAAATGCAAAATTCAGTAAAAAATCTTTTATCAGATTGATTAAAATACATTCTTAGCAGAGTATATTTAAACATGGTATCAGACCTCTAGCAGTTATAGATGTATATCTGACTGCATTTGAGTTTATTCTATTAAAATTTCGTTGTTAAAATATTTCTCTGTTTATTTATTATTGACATTCATTAATAACAATTTCTAATGTACTTCTTGTTTAACATTAAGTTAGAAGTTTTGTTCGCATAGAAAAAGAAAGGTTCGAATAATTGCTTTAATATTCTGTGACAATCTTAATTTAACCAATAAATATTTTCTTCATTTAATAAGTGGAAGGGAAAAGCTGTGAAAAAAAAACTTCTGATTGATTACTTGGCTTACAATCAGCTTTATTCCCTGGAGTGTCAATCGAAATGAAGTATCGATAATTGTTTTTGTACTACATCGTGATCTTTTATTAGTTTAAACAAATTTAGTATCAAAATCGAATGTTTCTACTTAATCATGAGTTAACATCAACAATAATTACTGATATGTGTGACAACTAGAGAATTATCATAGGAAAGTCATGACGACTTACATTGATGTAACTAATCTTTAAATGTTTATGGTCTGCATGAAAACATCGATAAGAGAAATTATGACATGAAGAAATAAAGTGTATTAAAGCATTTGATGAGGAAAAAGGCGAAAAAAAAAAGGAAATGCAATTCTTCTCTCACTCAAAATATAAACATGAGCTTTCTTCTATCGATGAGAAGCATTGCTTATCAGATACAGTATTAGATAGAATGGAACAATGCTTAATAAGAAATTTATTGTAAAAGATCGTTTAAATTTCTTTAAACTATTAGTAAAAGGTTTTTCGTAAGGAAGAAGAAGAATAAATGTAAGAAAAGCAGATTCTAAAGTTCATTGTTCATGTATATGAAATACATTTCTTATTGTTATGTGAAAATTATAAATAACAATGACAAGTTCGAGAAGAGTTTTTTATTATATAAACGAGAAGAGTGACAATCCAGAAGCATGTTGTTGAAAGCCAATTACTTGCCTGTGGTAACGACTACTAAAATTTTCTTTTTCTTCCACTCTTTCTCTTGCTGTCTTACTAGTTAAACGATAATAGATAATAGAATAAAGAGAGTAAGTAGTTCTAAGATAGAGCATCTTCACCACTCTAGAAAACAAAGAAAAAAAAAGTAGGCGTTGTCTTCTTGTTATATCTATTTCTTTTTTTTCGTTTAGACATTCACACTTAAAGGATTGTTCTTTCATTACTGAACAATACTGCTTAAAAAGTATAATAATGTATTCATTTCGTCGAAAACTAACAGCATTTCTTTGTGTTTTTGTTCTTCTAATCTGTTGTATACACAGTTTTAGAATAGTAAGTCATTCTTATTTTGATTATTTATTGAATTATTGTATGATGTTTGTTTTCTTATAGAATGAACTTGAAAATGCTATAAATGACAAACACCTTGCCAATGAACAACCGCTTACATCTGCTCAACTTCATGTTCTTGAACAAATTATGAATCGTCGAAGTCTTTATGATCCTGCGTACAGTGACTCTTGGTCAAATTATTTCGAAAAAAAGCGTAGTCTCTTCGATCCTGCTTATAGTGATTGGGCTAACAGCTTTAAACGATCAGATGAATAAAATATCCAATTAACATCTTCGAAATTTTTTTTTTCTTTGTACAAGGAAATATTATAATAAAATTCAAAACGATTTTGAAAAATTAACCCTAATAAATAGCGTTTAAAAATTAACGTTATATATATGATCATGTGTTCTTTATTTTCTCTATTAGACAGCTGATTAATCTACATTTTATAATGAATTTAATTGTCTGAAGGATAAAAACATGCATATTTGATAATTGTTATGAAAAGAAAAACAATATTTCCTCAAATGAGTGCAACATCATAAACTTTTGAAAATTTCCCAGAAGAGTTTTAGTTGTAATCTATTACAACAAACACGAATACATCTAAAGAATGTGTAAGAAAAACAGTAATGATAATAATATTAATAAATTTAAAGATGAGTTACTCAATGTAACGATATTGCAAAAGTTATGACATGTTAATTAAGCTCTCCTCTCGTAAAATACAAAACAAAGTTGACTTTCGTCAAATTAATCGAAATTAAGATATAAACATGGGGAAATAGCTTGAATTTTTCATAAGTAATATCAATTTATATTTGATACATCATTTTTTCAAAAACATTTTTCATGATTTTCGTCACCTTGTACTTGAATAATATGCTTTTTTCGGACACAACCGGATATTGGTTTCATTTTTTTCTCTATTGATGCTTATCTCATGATGCATTTCAGAATTCTCGAAGGAGCCTCATTGTAGTCAATTGGTTTTTTTGTTTTGTTTGAAAAATCATGAGTCGTTACAGTGCTAGAAAGAACTCAATTTTTGCATTAAGTTTTTTTTATTAATATGTGAAAAGCACTTCTATAAATAGATAACTATTCTTTGACAGTTTTTTGAGTTATTGAACTTGACATCCTTTTTTCTACGCATGAAAAGTAAGAATTAAAAGAAAATGACTTTGTCGAATATTATAATGTAACATGATCTTTCACGTGTAAAAAATGGTTAAATGCATCGAATAAAGGTTCACAAAGAGTTTTCCGGTTGGCAAATGAGCCATTTTTGACCACTGTTTACTGAATATCTACCGAAGAAGTCATAGAATAAGACTGAAAATTTTAGCATGGCTGCTTGACACAGTTCCAACACATTCTAAAAATTTCATGCCATTTTAATCTACCTGGCGCGAGATCAATTTTGGAGAGAAGAAGTAACAATTTTAATATTCACAATAATAACTCTTCATCTGAACAGACTGGAATTATCAAAATCAATGAATCTTATTGTAACAAAACGCATTCATTGTATCATATGCTTTTATGACATTAAATAAAATATTGTCATTCTTTAGCTCGAATTTTTTTTTCGACAATTGTCTTCTCGTTCTCAAACAATGGAATAATCAATTGCAAAAGATTTTTAACATTGTAAACCTTAACTATCTTCGATACGATAATCATGATTGATGAAATAAATGCTATCTTTTATATATACCATGTAGGTTTTGTATCCCTAAATATATATATACTAAATCGTAGGGTAGAAAATAAAATCATACAATATAGACCTATTGAGAATGTCACATGATCAGTATGACACCCTAAATATAAATACATATGTATAGGTTTCAATTAACACAAAAAGAAAAAGTTATTACAAGAAAAGAGTTAATATCTGTTTATTGATTTGTACTGTTTTATTTCCGGTGCTTGTTGATCATAAAATTGATCATGACTTGCTAGTTGAAAATTTCGTTCTGTTGTTTGGAGATTTGTACTTTGATGGACACTAGTAGAATCAATAGAATTTTCATTATTATGTGAAGAAATATCAAGACACAGAGGGTCATAGATATTTGGTTGAAGTAAAATTTCAACCAGTCGATCATTACCATGAATATTCATGTCTATATGATCATTGTTGATTATTGATTGGTTGTTCTTTCGAATAAGTTCATTTAAATTCAATGGATCTCTCCGATTACCACCTAATAAAGAAAAAGATGGAAACCTAATAAGTTGTTCTTTAGGTTTGAACACTTTACCAAAACGTACATGTTTATGTTGTCTGAAAGTATTACTTTTAATAAAATATGAGTGTGTTGATATTGACCACGGGTTGCGTTGGTATGGCATTATTGGAAAGAAATTGTTTGAAGAATGTTTAATGGTTGTTCGATCGTTGCGTCAGATACAATGAAGAAGAATGTATGATGTAAGTTCCATTATTTACTTTGATTGCATTGGTAATTGAGAAACACAGAACAAACAAAAAAATTAAGCAATGATAAATTTAAATGCAAAAAATTTGTTTGGCTGATTCAGAATTGTGCAATTATGGACAAATCTAAGTATTATATGGATTAATATCGTAAGCAAAGCAAGAAAAACAAAATTTTTCTTTGGATTTAAAGACTAAACTGTCACACATATGGTTGTCTTTTTATTGATTGTATTAATTATAATGAGATGTTTATTTGAACATGATGTATAAATTAAACTTTATGTTTGTTTATGTTACATTTCAAATAATAACAACATAACATTTCTATTTTTTTTCTTATCTGTCATTATCAGAAAATTCTTTCTTGATGAATGACATCTCTCTGTGTTCTATTACATTAATACAAGATTATACAAAGATGAAAAACATCTATAAGATTCTCAGTCGTCAAAAGAAAAGGATGCTGTCCATATCTTCCATCTATCATTGACAGGCTTATTTGCTTTATCAAATAACAACATATCTGTTTATGAAAAATGAGATATAAAAGTATTGCTGCTTTGGTTGCATATAATTCATAAAGAATCGAAGACAAAAACAAAAGTTTATTTTTTCATCATCTTCATTTGCTATTTAAGTCAAGATAATTAACTTAATAAATGTCTTTCGCTATACATAATCATATACGAATAAAAATTTTTGTGTCAATATGGCTGAAGATAATTCTTGAAAATCCGTATATGTATATATATATATATATATTTTATGCTTAATCAATTCAACTGTGGCTCTGTTATATTAAACTTTAAGTTCCAATTCAAAGTGCATTAGTGTGTTGTATAGTTTGAAACGATGAGTCATCATCGAGATCTGTCAGCTATGAAATGTATGCAAAAAGATGATAAAATCTAATGCAATAATATATATATGAATATTGATTGTATATTTCATTTTGTTCTAGACTAACAGCATAATGGGTGTTCAAAAGAATAAAACTCTTGATTCCTGTGATGCTACGGGTGATCATGATCAATTGGATGCACCAGTAAAAAGTATTGAAGTAAGTTATTTTCTAAAAAAAGAATTTTATTGTAAATGCATTTATTTTTTAATTTAATAGGATAAATGGAAACTTGTACCAGCTTTTCTTAAAATCAAAGGACTTGTTAAACAACATCTCGATTCATTTGATTATTTTGTTAATACTGAAGTAAATAAGATTTTAAAATATATTTTTTATATTTTGTTTTTATTATTATGATTGATATATTTTTTAGATTAAAAAAATTATGTTAGCAAATCAAGAAATTCTTATTGAATCTGATCCTTCATTTTACATGAGGTTTAATAATAAAATAAAAACAATTATTATGAAATCATTTTTTTATTGTTTTCATAGATATTTAAATATTGAAGTTCTTTCACCATGTATTGAAGAAGGTTATAATATAATTCGACCGATAACCCCTCATGAAGTATATTTAATTATTATTCATTAAGATTTAATATATCGTTATGAGTATTTCTTTTTAAAATAGTGTCGTTTACGTGATATGTCTTATTCAGCTCCAATATCTGTTGATATTGAATACATACGAGGTAAAGAACGTGTTATACGAAAAGGTTTAGTTATTGGAAGGTAATTGTTTTTTGATTTTTCATTATGAAATTAAAGTTATTTATTGAATAAATTAAAACTATTTAGATTACCAATTATGTTACGAAGTTGTAAATGTGTACTTTATCAAAAGAATGAAGCTGAGATGGCTAAAATGCGAGAGTGTCCACTTGATCCAGGTGGTTATTTCATTACACGAGGTAAAAAAAGAACAAATAAGAATTTCCTTTTTTTTTTGGATTATTAAATTTTTTTTATTATTTCTCTTAGGTACTGAACGTGTCATTTTAATTCAAGAACAAATATCTAAAAATCGAATGCTTATTGAAAAAGATTCAAAAGATCGTTTTCAATGTACTGTTACAAGGTAAAAACATATTGTAAATTTTTAATAATTTCTACTTTCTACGATACTCAATTAGCAAGAGTTTAAACGTTATCAAATTTTGATTGACCATCGATTGATTTTATAATTTCTAGAAATTTCTTTATTTTACAAAGGAAAAAAAGCTAATTCCAATGATTCTAATCACCGGAATTGGACGAGGAAGTCACCGTTACATTAACAAGTAACGAACAAATTCATGGATTTGATTATTTCGTCAGGAAGTAGCTATCGGAGAAAATCACGACCTTTTTGTATAAAGTTTGAGCATAGGTCTTCCAAGTACATGAATCCGATTCTGTAATCAATTTCTCGGTTACATATCCTAAAATAGCTTTTCTTTGGTAAACTCATAAATCCACCATTACTAGTAACGTAGCGGTAACTTCCCAGTCCTAACATTGACTATTATGATTAGGTAGAATAATCTTCTGTATTATTCAAATGAAAATGCAGAGTGATTTGAAATGTTCTCAGGGAATTATCGAAGAAAAAAAATAATTTTTGAACGAATTTGAAAATCATTTAAGCTATGATTACTATAGAACCATTGTTTAGTCAAATATATAAATCACTTGACGGTATCGAGAATTCATTTTTTTTTCTCGGCAGCTGAAATCAGGTATGACAGCTGCATAAAGTACAGCTAGCGCATACTAGTTCTTCGTACAATAATGAAAACAAGCAATAAATTTTTTGAAAGAACAATCAATTGTAAAGATGTAAATTGATAATAGATAGTCTACTTTCTAAAGAGTGTTGAGAATACAACCAGGATTTTCTAACTGGAAATTCAAAAATTTAAATATCGTATTTTCAAGAAAATAGAATTTTTTTTTGTTTAGTACAACACAACAAACAAAAACAAAAACAGGTGTATATGAAAGTAAAGGTCGATACTTTTTGGCACATAATAGTCTTACTGATGTAAGAAAAAAAAATATTTATTTTATAATTTTAATATTTTTGTTTTTTTTGTATAATAGGATATTCCAATTGCGATTATATTCAAAGCTTATGGAATTCAATCAGATCAAGAAATTGCTGAATTAGTTGGTTTTGAAGATTATATTTTGAATTGTTTTTCAGCATCGATTGAAGAATGTCATCGATTAGGAATATTTACACAGATACAGGTGAGAATTCTACAAGAATATTTCGTTTGACAGGATGTTTGAATCGTATCGATTCTCGATTTCAGTCTAATTCCTCGCTTTTTCAATCGTAAAATAATTTTCGAATAAATAAGTATGTGAAACTAAATGATTGTCTAGCTGCTTTGAAATGAGCCAAAACAAAACGAATCATAAGTTTTTGCAATTGTGATCGGTTCGATTCATGGTTAAACTCTTAAAAGTGTTTTGAATTTAACCCAGTGCAAGCAACAGAGTGGACAGTCTATCAGTGGCCTACGAAATAAGAACTTATTTTGAGCACAGTCTGGTTTTCTATAATTATCAAAGCTATTTAATAATCATCACATTTTGTTCTGATTTATGATTTCAGTCATTATTTTTTTGTATATGCCTATGTTTGTGACATTTCCAGTTTAAGAGCGATCAAACTATAGACTATCTGTTGTCATGTTATCTGTAGTAAGTTTTCTTAGGAACAGTGAACACTAAAAGTATTCAGTCGACGTAGTCAAACTAAAATGAGATGTTCAATAATTCCAATTCATACGAACGAAACCAGTTCTCTGCATTTAATACATATCAATACAGTTAATCATTTCGTTCTATTGAAATCAACAACCATTGATTGTGCCAGTATAGTTTAGTCTGATGAACTGGAATCGAAGCATATCTATACAAAGTTAATTACCATCGAGTAGTTCTATTGTATAAACACACATTGCTAAAAAGAAACAAAAGGGAAAATTATTTCATCTAAATAAACTAACGAGAAAATCAGTGTAGATGATTCAGAGCTTTTGTGTGGATATTTTTCGCACAAGTAGAACCCAATGAGACTAGGAAAAGCTTATTTACGATAAGGATCTAACAAAATTTGTAAAACCTGTATTTCTATTTGAATGAAGTAATTTTATCAGTTTCAGTGGAAGTATTGGTATAACTTAAATTTCAATTCAAAGAAATAATTGTTAATAATACAGCTGCAGATGAAAGAACAAGCGTAGATTTAATATTTAAGTGAACGAAATATCCATGATTTCGCACTTATTTAACATGAATTGGACAGATGGACTATTCCTCTTCTTCCACATTGCTCGCTATTATCAAGAATTCTGTCTCAAAAGTTTTCAGACTACATGTGCATGATGGAAATTTTAATGAGCGATGCATATCATGAAAAGAGTTCGAGTCCTTCGTTTATTGCTGCTGAGAGATTGTATTTTGATAGTACTTTTTAATTCAATACCGCAGTCTCTTTCAGCAACATTGGAAAATTTTATTCTCAAAGTTCGATTTGAAACTTTGTAGAGCAACAGATCTTCGCAAGAATAGTTTATTATGAAAGTGTTTGATCTTTTGATTTGTTTTCATCTTGAAATAAGAACATCGAATCTGCTATTATATATATAAGGCATGTAAATGACACGCTTTTATCATAGTTGTACTTTAAGATACGAACAATTAAAGATCTAAAATTTCCACCGTAATTTACTGTCATCAAGTCCTGTTTTCGTGCAACATTCCAAGTTGAAATTCGAAAATAATTAACTCTTCTGATGTCCCCCCAATGGAAATCAGGGCGTTGACTTCAAAAACACAACCGATATAAAATATCTCGGCAGCAATAAACGATGTACTCAGACTCTTTTCAGAATATTCATAACTCATTAGACTCTACCCGATGCACATAGTCTTGACTCAAAAGTGATTAATCAGTTTGAGTAACTTCTCTTGCTGGCCTAGCTCAATCACAGCTCTTTTCGATATCATTAGGGTTTTTGTTTAATCATCATTCTTATATCGATAAATATTTTCGATTAATACAATAAATGAATATATATAATGAAAACTGTTCAAAGAACGCATGATCATATTAGAATCATTTTGAAAAAATCACTTATCAATGAGATTTTGACTACAATAAGAATCGGAAGGATCTCAACAATTCCTCAAATGATTTCCCAACAGTTTCACAATGTCATAAACATGTGAAATCTGTCATTACTTAACGTCAATCTATACATTACAGATAAAAAATAAACCATATATTTCATTTAAAACTTAACTAAAATATTTATTACGTTACTTACATAGATATTTCTTTGGTTAAAAATATTTAAAAAATATATTATTTTCTTTTTATGAAGGCATTAAAATATATTTCAACAAAAATGAAAAGTTCATCAAAACAATTTGCATCAAATCAATCATCTCGTCGTAATCGAATTGATGAAGCACGTGAATTATTAGCACATATTATATTAGCTCATGTACCAGTAAGCTAAATATTTTTCTTAACAGAATGTGTTTTTTGTTTGTATCTAATTCTCATCAGAGGTCATTGAATATAATTATAAATTAAAAGCTGTTTATACAGCTTCAATGGTACGACGTGTTATACAAGCCCAATTATGTCTTGTTAATATTGATGATCGAGATTATTATGGAAATAAACGTTTAGAATTAGCTGGACAATTAATTGCTCTTCTATTTGAAGATCTTTTTAAAAGATTTAATACAGAAGTAAATATCAAATAAGAAAAAAAAGTATATCGGAGTGAGAAAAAAAATTTTTTTTTTTTTTTTTTTCTAGTTACAAAAAATTGCTAATAAAATAATTCCACGTCAACGAGCACAACAATTCGATGTTACTAAACATATTCGACCAGATATAATAACAAATGGTCTTGTTATAGCTATATCAACTGGTAATTGGACAATAAAACGTTTTAAAATGGAACGACATGGTGTAACACATGTACTTTCAAGACTTTCATATGTTGCCGGTATTGGTATGATGACAATGATAACAAGTCAATTTGAAAAAACTCGTAAAGTATCTGGTCCTCGTTCTCTTCAACCATCACAATGGGGAATGTTATGTCCATCGGATACACCCGAAGGTGAAGGTTGTGGTCTTGTGAAAAATCTTGCTTTAATGACACATATAACAACAGATATTGAAGAAAAACCTTTAATACGTTTAGCACAAAATCTTGGTATTGAAGATATAACTATGATGAATGGAGAAGAAATCTATGCTGATAATATGTATATTGTTATGCTTAATGGTAATATAATTGGTGCAACAAATAAACCAAGAAAATTAATTGATTCTATTAGATTTTTACGACGCAAAGGTTATTTAAATGAATTTATATCAGTATATACATTAAAAAAACAACGTGTTATTAATATATCATCGGATAGTGGAAGATTATGTCGACCATATATTATTGTTATTAAAGGTCAACCAAAAGTCACTAATCAACATATACAAGAGCTTGCACTTGGACAAAAGTAAATAATGATTAATAAAAGATGAAAATTATTTTTGTTTTCTTTTTTTTTGTTTTGTTTGTAGAACATTTATTGATTTCCTTCAACAAGGTCTTGTTGAATATCTTGATGTTAATGAAGAAGGTGATTCAAATATAGCTGTTTATGAAAAAGATATTAATAAGTAAAAAATAAATATACATATAATTAAATTAAATTAACTAAAATTTTGTTCTCTCTTTAGAGAAACAACTCATCTAGAAATCGAACCATTTACTTTATTAGGTGCATGTGCTGGTCTCATTCCATATCCACATCATAATCAATCACCACGTAATACATATCAATGTGCTATGGGTAAACAAGCTATGTAAGTAGAAAAAAATCTATCAAGTAATGATTGTCATAAGAAATCTGATTTTTTTTTCAAAAAAGCGTGACGTAGAAAATTGTTTAGTTTGTAAGAATAAAATTTTCTTTAAAAATCTTTTCGATTTGTAGGCAAAATACATTTTTGAGACGCAATGTGTGATATGTAAACGTAATTTTATTTGAAGCGATTAGCGAGAGGTAAACAAACTAAATTTTATTACATTAAAAGTCAAGTAAAATATTTATTCTCAATAAAATGCTTTCATTGATTTTACAGGATGGCCCATAAATAACTAGATGGTAAAAATATTAAATATCTCTAGCGTGTTTTAATCAATCAGACTGACCTCTTTCTCTCGATGATAGAGGATTCTTCAAAGTTTTTATTAAAAAGAAACTCGACCGACTGAAAGTATCCTCGTGCAGTTTCAGCCATTGTCAAGACGACACTCCTGAAATTTTTAGTATACGTAAAAACTTAGAAATGTAGGCGTACGAGATCCATCCGATCAAGATTTTTTTGAGTTGGCCAGGAATTATGATAGATGATAATTCTTCTTATTGTGAGTCTTATCATAGATAAGGAGCTTACATCCTGACCAGTTTATCAGTGTGTAAAATATTTGCATTAAAAGATTACATAATAATGAGTTCTCTGATTCATACATTTTTTTTTCCTTTTTTGGTATAAGATTCACAGTGACAAGGATTGACATAAGTTATAATTCTTCGTCAATTCAAGCGAACGAGGGCAGGCTGGTTGTTTTACTGACGTACATTTCGAAAGTAGTATAGACACTAAAAATTTCAAATGTCAAGTTCTAATAATAGCTCAGTTCCTTTTTGGCTGACAGTGTATTTCTTCATTGAGCTTTTAATAGTGCTAGTTCTACACAATATCTATTTGATAGTTTCTTTATGAATGCAAACATTGAAGAGTATTCTATTGTCAAGAAAAAAGTCAATCCAATCAATTAAAGCAAGCTCGAGGCATTGTAAACTTCTATCACTTAGTTATTTATGAGTCACTGTGAAATGTTTTTTTTTTTCGAAAGAAAGATGTCTAAAGTAAATGTTCTGTTAAAAATATGTTGCCCTATATTATTCTTTGTCTACTCAAAACAATTATTCTAGAGAAGAAAAATATAACGTTTCAAATTGTCCTACTCTCTTTTGATGAAACTAATCAAACTACTTCGCATAAAGTGTAATGCATCTAGTCGTTCTATCTATTCTATTAGTACATGAAGTATAGGATTATTTTATTAATGTGTCTTCTGTGAAACCCTCACCAAAGGTAAACAGCTTATTAAAAATACAGAAATCTATCGAATTATGATATTTCTATTTCACATAGTTTAACAGTCATATTTTATACCAATGTTTTTTTTTTCAGGGGTGCTATTGGTTATAATCAATCACAACGTTGTGATACATTATTATATTTACTTGTTTATCCACAACGTCATATGGTTAAAACACGAGTATAAATATATATTTAATTATTTTATCTAGATATAATAACTTTGTTAATATTTAGACAATTGAATTAATTAATCTTGAAAAACTTCCAGCTGGTCAAAATGCTATTGTTGCTGTAATGAGTTATTCCGGTTATGATATTGAAGATGCACTTATACTTAATAAATCATCATTAGATCGAGGTTTTGGACGATGTATTGTTTATAAAAAACAAGTTGTTGCTATGAAACGTTATCCAAATCAAACATGTGATAAAATAAAAGGTCCATTAATTAATATTGAAACAAAAAAACCTAAATGGGAACATGAAGTACTCGATATGGATGGTATTGTTGGTGTTGGAGAAATAGTTGATAATAAACAAGTACTTGTAAATAAATATACACCTAGTTCAACAACAATGACATTAGCTGAACAACAAACTTCAGCTGGAACAACAACAAATGTTTTTGCTGAACATGAAGATAAAGAAACACCTTTAATTTATCGTAATCCAGTTCCAGCTTGTATTGAAAAAGTTATGTTAACAAGTAATCATGAAGATATGTTTATTGTTAAATTATTAACACGACAAACACGTCGTCCTGAAATAGGAGATAAATTTAGTTCACGTCATGGACAAAAAGGTGTTTGTGGTTTAATTGTACAACAAGAAGATATGCCATTTAATGATTATGGTATGTGTCCAGATATAATTATGAATCCACATGGATATCCAAGTCGAATGACAATTGGAAAATTAATTGAATTATTAGGTGGAAAAGCTGGAGTTTTAGAAGGGAAATTTCAGTAAGTATAAATAACATGAATTTCAAAAGAAATGAAAAAAAAATGTCCGAATTTCACAACTCATGATGATATCTCCTTAGATGTTCCTTGCGATTTTAATGATTCTTTTTTTGCCTATAGATACTACATGATGTCCTAATAAAAATCCTAAACAAATTTCAGTTCCTATTGAGATTTGACTAAGCTATCAAATTATTGAATTTTGCGATCTGAAACTTTGTGCAAGTAAACACGTGAATTCGACTAGTTTCCTTAAAAAAATATCAGAAATTTTGAAGAAAACCTCTTTAAAATATAATGCTTTCTAAAAATACACATTGCATACACTATCCAGGGAAAAAGGTTTATATCTTGAATAGACTTTGTTCAAAACTTGTGTATTTTTTTATGAAACCTAGTCTAGTTGAGTTCTTCGTATGAGCACAGTTTCAGATCAAAATTCGAAAATAAGAGTTTACTGAAAATCTGATTCATCTAGAAAATAGACATATTACAAATTCGATAGCTAAGTCAAATCTCAATAGAAACCGAAATCTTTTTAGGATTTTCATTAGAGCACTGCTTAGTAAGTAAGTTTCGTTACTTGGTTAGAAGCTTCTTTCGAATATCCTCCATGATAAACTCGTAACGGATTATTTATCAACTTCTTTTACTTCTCAATTATTTTCATACTTGTCGTTTGAGTAGAACCCAAGCGATTTCCATTGATCGAACTTCAAGAACTTTTGGAAGATTATTTTGACGAGAAATGAACAGTACGTTTTTTTTTCGTTGAAAATTTTCTTCCATAACATCAGCTGTATAGTGAGTACTTGACTAATCAATCTAGAAGAGATTCTTTTCATCCTGATGATACTTTTCCATAAAAGAAAGTACTCTTTTGTTAAAACACTTCCAAATATGTTGGTTGAAGGATATTTGATTTACTTCTATCGATGTACACATCAGACGCCCATTTCAAGGACATGATCATGTAAAATTGGTCAGTTCAATAAAAAAAAATGCCATCGGCAATGTCATTACCTAATTTGAAATATTTTTCGTCGATTTTCTTTGCATTCGCTCTCCATTTTCGACGTTTATTGATAATGACTTATGTTCTTTTTCTCAGATTACATGAAATAGTTGCATAATATAACCCAAACTATCGTCCAAATTTCTATTGACTGACAGTATGCCGATTGTTTACAAATGTAACGATACTATTCAATTTTTTTGTCTGAAATCTTACGAGATCGATTACTTTTTTGCTGATATTTCGCTATTCAATGGTAACGATACTTCCATAATATATTATAAATTGTTGTTTGCTAAATATTTTGCTTTTTGAAAATATTGCACTTTTCATGGACTTATTTGAAGAATTGAAATAGAAGTCACAGATACATTATGCTAGAGCTTTTTTTTTTCGTTACGAACCATTTTTTCTACAAATGGGTTGTAATGATGAGTCACACTTGTTTCGAAAGAGAAGAGAATGGATTACTAGATTATCACCAATCATTCGTGTGTCTGTCGCGCATTCAACCACGTGAAAATGACCTCGACACTTTTCTTTTGATTTCTTTTGCAACGAATATTATGTTTGTTTTTCAAAAACGACAAAATAAAACTTATATTTGTAACTTCTTAGTTATGGTACAGCATTTGGCGGTGATAAAATTGCTGATTTATCAAAAGTATTGATTGAGAAAGGTTTTAATTATTTGGGTAAAGATATGTTAACATCGGGTTTAACCGGTGAACCATTACAATCATATATTTTCTTTGGACCTATTTTTTATCAAAAACTTAAACATATGGTTCAAGATAAAATGCATGCAAGGTATATATTTTCAAGATTTTAATTCTATACTATTTTTATTGGTTTGTATATTTTAGAGCACGTGGTCCTCGATCAGTTTTAACTCGACAACCAACTGAAGGTCGATCACGTGATGGGGGTCTTCGACTTGGTGAAATGGAACGTAAGCATTCGAATTTTCGAATAATTAGTTTATATGACATAATAAAGCTTTGATAATAAGAACTTCTGGAAAGATTACGAGTGAATCTGTCGAAAATGATTGAAAGTTTTTCGCTACATGTTCTACGCATAGGTAGAAAACTCGCAGATCAGAAAAGAAGTCTAAAAAGACTTAAACCAATTTTGTGGTTTGGCGGATACCATCTTATGTGGGATTCTGATATCGCGAAAGCAAATGTTCGATATACTTTATCTGATCATTAGCGCATAAGTGTAGATTTTTAATCCAATTTTACATAAATATCAGATAATTAAATGACGATATTATGTGATTAGACTCAGGTCAGTTTTTAACAATCCATGAACAAATAGAGTTTAATCGAGCTTTTTCGGTTCGTATCATTTGATGAATATTTGTAATTGCGCGTTACTGGCACACACCCTTCGAATACAAGAATTTGAATAAAAAAGGATAAGCGAAAATTAGTCGAGACAAATCACAGTGAAGAAAAAATCAAAATCATTTGTTGAACAAAGCTTTCAATGGATTAAAAAATAAAAATACATCAATCTTCTTATTGTTAAATATTATGGAATAGTAATATTTAACATAAACAATGTCAGAAAAAATGCATTCATTATTTCTTAATAAGCAAATTATTTCAAGCAAACTTTAATGCTTAATAATGAACTTCCGGTTACTTTATTTTACGTTGAATATTAGCTATAATTTAGTAATCAAATGATATAAGCATATATTACGGTAAAAATTCTTTTTGCTTTTTGGGTTCAATGTCTCTATCAGAATTCAATTTTCATATAATTTCATGAAAATCTGTATGTTTAATACTATTTATTTTAAAAAGAATTACTATTATCAATACCAAAATATAAGGCAGATAAATGCTCTTTTTTGAGCCACTTTTGCATATATCACCATTCTATTCAGCATAATGAATTATCCTTGTCTAGCTGCTTTTTCGAGCGGTCACAGGTTCATTCGCTTAAATCATGGGTCTCAGAAAAAGTCTTGCAGCTCTTCAATGGAACATGCTAGCAATTTTGATCCTGTATAGATCAAAAAAGAAGATTTTTTTCTATCGATTGATCATATCATAAGTAGAAATCGAAAGTGAGATGACTTCAAAACGTCGTTTTCAAAAATCTCAGCCAAGAACTCACTTAATTGGTTAATGATTGATCAATCAAATGACGATGTATTTCGATAGCTCTCAGTTTTGTCTTTTCACTGGTGAAAATCGCCAATCTCTATGATGTTTCTATTGATAGTTATTCGAAAAACATCGATCTACCGTACATTTTGCGAACGATAATAGTTCATATCTTACGTATAACAGAGAAAAACATGCGCTTTTTTTTGTAGCGATTTTTAGTTACATAATAGTAGCTTTTGTTTTTTGTGTACTCAAAAAGTGAGTACACTACTAAAATCGGTCAGTGTGTCCGTCCGTCCGTTTATCCGATAACTTTCGAAAGGAGAGTCGGATCGTGATGAAATTTTCTACACAGTTCAGTCTTTAGAATATGTCGGTCGAGTTCGAAGATGAGAAGGATCCGTCGAGAAATGGCTGAGTTATCAAAAAAATGGTGATTTTTGACCAGACCATCCCTGAGGGAGGGTACAGGGATTTTTTCAAAAAAAAAATTTTTTCTCTGAATTATTCACAACATATATAAATCGACTCAGTTTTTAACGCTGATTCTGAATCTGATATTAGTTTTGAACCGAATCATAGTTTTGTGTACTCAAAAAGTGAGTAGACTATAGAATAGTCAGTGTGTCCGTCCGTCCGATTGGCTGTTTACATAATAACTTTTGACAGCAGAGTCAGATTGTGATGAAACTTTCTACAAAGCTTAGTCTTGACAATACCTCGGTCAAGTTCGAAGATGAGAAAGACCGGTCGAGCCGTTCCTGAGTTATTGCAAAAATACCCATTTTTCCCTATAGCTTTCTGTGGAAAAATGGACCCATCGCGACTTTCGTAAAAGACTTTTCCTATCATAGTCAATTAAAACCCCAACTATTATATACCATTCGATAGAAAATTTCAAGTACTACAAAATGATATATAAAACATAAAGAACCAAGAACGTTGACTAACCTATCACAAAGATAATTAAAGAGAACTAGGTTATATTTTGGTCCACAATCTAATTGATCCACAAATAGAGCTTTATCTTCCGATTACACTGATGATACTTCGAGGTTTTCAGGTATGGAGAACTCGAATGTGTACTGCACTTCCATCGGAATACTATTAGTTGTGCAGTGACCAATAGAAATGAAGTTCTAGGAAAAACGACTTTCTTAGAGTAAATCAAGGTGCAGAGTTCAACCTTGAGCTGTATTCGGTCCCATGTCCTATTGGTTTGGCAACGCGCAATATAAATCAACATTTTAAATGGTAGATTTCACAGTATGATTTTGATATTCCGACAGTCTAGGATGATTGATTTGTATGATTCACTTTTTGAAGTACACATAACTCTCGGATTTAAATCCGAAGTTTCCGCATTTATTTAATATTGCTATGAATTTCTTGACTATCATGCGTATCGACCAAGTTTGTTACTGACTCATTTTTCGTAATGACCAATAAAAAACCTAGGTAGTCTCGTATGATTTATATTTTTGTACCCAAATGTCACCAACAATTTTGGGTAAAATTGATCCCGGTATTTTTTTTATTTCTAGGTGATTGTCTAATCGGTTATGGTGCAAGGTAAAAAAAAATTGAATTCGTTTTATTTTTGTTTCTCAATGTTTTCTATTTTAGTATGCTTATACTTGAACGTTTAATGATATCGAGTGATCAATTTCAAGTTGATGTATGTAATCAATGTGGTTTATTTGGCTATAATGGATGGTAAAAAATAATAATTATATTTAATATCTTCAAAATAATAAACAACACATAAATGCTTTTGTTTAGGTGTCAATTTTGCAAATCATCATCAGATGTGGCAACTATAAAAATTCCTTATGCTTGCAAATTACTTTTTCAGGAATTACAATCTATGAATATTGTACCACGAATTTCATTAAAAACACAAATTTAATTGAAACAAAAAAAAAACCATAATAAACACATGTTTTTTTTTTAAATGTGATGGTTTTTGTTTGTTTGTTTTCTTTTTCAGATATATATATGGGAAATCATAATTCAACATCTGATTCTTCTATTATAAATAATGAAGATATATTTAAAGTTGATAATATAAATTCATATGGTCGAAAACATTCGTCGGCTAAAATTGAATTATTAAATGATAACTTATGTATACATCAAAAACATCGGCAATCATTATTTATTCCACTTAATACAATAAAACGTTATGGTTTAGATGGTTCAATATTTATTCTTGAATGTGGTCGTCGTGCACCACTTGGTCCAGCACGTTATGCATTTCGTTGTAAAAAAGCTCGACATCTTGTTAATTGTTTAGATGAACGTATAACAATAATTTCAAATCAATTACTTAATGAACAACAAGATAAATCATTATCAAGTTTAACAACTGTTTCATCAACATTTAATAATCTACGGCGAACACAATCATCAATATCATTATCGTCAGTAACATCATTTTATCGAAATTCTCTATCGAATTTATCAGAAAATTATTTTATTTTTGGAAAAGACAATCAACAATATCCTAATTCAATAAATTATGCAGAATTTCAAACACAAAAACAAATATCACAATCATCATTAGAATTATCAAGAAATTTTGAAATGGTAAAGTAATTTCCGATTAAAATAATCATCTAAATAAATTCGTTTTCTTTTTCATAATTAGCATAAGTCAAATGTAACCATATCGAATAGTCAAAATGATGATACAAAGGCAACTACACTTGTTCCAACTACATCAAAATCTTATGTTTTTATTGATCATGAAAAAACAACAACATTGAAAGAAATAGCTAAACAACGATTACAACAACATCCTGTGCGTTATGATGCCTAATGATTAAATCTTCTATCTTTCTCATGTCATTGTTTTTATTTGTTTATTGTACATTTTGTATTAGTTTTTTCTTGATTTGTTATCAAGATCGTTTTTTTTGCTGTGATGTGCACTATCTAGTAGTATATATTCAATATTTTGTACCAGTTTCTATATTCTTTAAAAAGATACCATTGAGAAAACTTTCGTATTATCTAATAGTTTTGATATACTCATATTTTTCTGATATGCTGTTGAATATCCACATAGTGAGTGGTGTTAGAGTAATTTGATGGAAATATCTCGACTTTTGTTTAACATTCTCTAGGGAGTTATAAATTGCTTTTGAGACAATTCTAACATCATTAGATAGACTTGATTTAGACGAGAGAAAATCTCAAAGAAATTGTGTCCGTAGATTTTAACTTTTGTGGTATAACTATGCAGTAAGTTGAACTGCAAACTACTATAGTTCTTTTCAGATCACCTTTCAAATCGACTTTTGAGTTGAAACTTTGCATAAATAAAGTTCTCAATGATAGAAGTTTGTTATGAAGCTGTTAGATTGAATAGTATCTTTTATGTGTAGATACAAAATATAAGAACAAAAAGTTGCTTGTTTGCAGAAGAGAATTTTCAATATTGGTCACTAATGAAAGGAAATATTACAAAATCTTATATTTTCATAATGAAATTAGTCTTGTTGAGAACTCTATATGTACGAAATTTGAACTTGAAAGTTGATTTTCAAAGGTGATATAAGAACCTTACGGTATTTCTTTAAAAATCTCACGAAAATGATCATAATACATAATGAAAAGCTAATAACTGTGAATCCTTTTGGACTTTCACGCATCTCTATAGGACCTACCTACTGAGGTAAGACTTCTCTCAAAAAACGATTGATCAGTTGTCAAGGTTCTCTGATCATTTAAATAATGATGTATCAACAAAAAAATCGAGTTGTTTTTTACTTTCAACAATAATGTACATTATCGTGGTTCAATTTCATTTAATGAACTTTTTCATATCATCCGTGTGAGTAATAGAATTATTAGAATCTTTCTGTCATCATCTTTTTTTCTGAATAAAAAGCTCTCAAAATAAACAATGAAATAATCCCATCTTGTGAAGATGTAAGACTGAATCAGTAGGCACTTTTAGAATTGAAGCAAGCACACGATTATAAAATTTTTCTAATAAATGAACCACTCGAAATGATACCCGCCGTTTGAGTTCATATTGAACTTATAAGGACATCTTGGTGAGATCCTCAAAATTCTAAAAGGACTCACCTTCATAGGCCTTTGGAGTCGAGTTATGACCAGTTTAATGAATTTTCAGCCTATGTTAACATACATAAGGAAAAGTCGAAAAACAGAATTTTGACCCAAAGTTGTGCCCATAAATACATAGGTTTAATAATCCTTAGGGTATCCTGAAAGTTTTAGTCGAAAAAATTGTTCTTTTGTTGAGACAACGAATTTGTAAAAGAACAAATGCTGCCGCAGACATGTCATGAAAAATCGAATTTTTCTTGAAAATTCAATATTTCGACAAAGGAACCTTCGTTTCGACTGGCATTTTCAGAATATTCTAACAGTCATTTGATCTATCTATGGAAGAAATTTCAGGTCGAAATATAGTTACTTGATTTTTCAGTAAATACCTAAAAATGCATCGAAAATTCAGTAAAACAAGCATAATTCGACTTCAAAAGCTCATGGAGATGAACCCTCGTATATTTTTGATAGTCTCATCAAGTCATTTTCGTAGATTCAATATGAGCTCAAACGATGACTATCAGTTCGAATGGTTCTATTATAAGATCTTGCCATCTGATATTATCTTTTTGAATGAGGACATGCAACATTGCATACATCAACAATGCCTTGTAATCATCTAAGAATAATCAAGACGACAATATATCGTACACGCTCATCTGATTATATAATCAGACAGTATGTTTACTTGAATATCATTCATGCACGCACGGTTTCCCTTAAAGCGTTGTTTAATAAGAATATTATAAAACAAACATTGTGTATGACTCATATAGAAACGAACTATATATTTCGATGATCTATATACCAATTAATATGAATATTTTTGCTCTCTTGCATTATTGACTTGTATAAAAATATGAGTTACAGGAGAAATGAGAGTTGAGAAAATTTTAAAAGTTTTAGTTTCTCTTATGACAACCTGATGTTTCAGGTTTTCCTATAGGAGAACGTTAAATAATCTCTAACGAATAGTGTAAAGTTCAGATTCAGCTACTTGATAATTATATCCATTTTTTTTAAATCACAAGCTTCGTGATAAGTTTTCCGAAACACAACCGTTACATGATGATGATATAATTGTGATGCTGCAAAATGATTGGATAAAATTTTCAGCCCAAATTCTCGATGGATAAAAACTTTGAATTAATTAAAATCTATGACTTGATTAGTTTAAAAATTGACACAGTAGACAGATCAAATGTTACATCTAAAATATTGTCATGTAAAATAATATCGATTTGATCATAATCATTGAGTGATATAGACTCTATTCATCATGTACAATATCCCCTCACGGTTTCAAACATTCGATTTATAATTTTCACGACCTACTTGATATAGATTCATCAATTTTACCAATAATGGCATACATTGAAGTCTGCAAACTGTTTATAAGTACAGGACTAATTAATTTTGTTGAAGCATGCAAAAGACAATTTTCTTGAGATTGTAAAAAACATAACTTGGAGAAGTCCAAAAAATGATTAATAATCTATTTAAGAATAAAAGACATGAGATATGAGTATTAATATGAATATTTACTAAACTCTTCTAGTTGACCATGAAACCTTACACGAGTGTAAATAGTCGTTGCTGTAAACATTTTGTATAATCTTCGATAATTTTTCCTTACTTTGTAGCTTCTATCTGCTGAGGTTTTCTCTATTTAGCAATGAATATAATTTTTATCTTTTTGTAACATTTCTATAAATATAAAATGTGCATGTCAACATTAAATTAACATCAATTAGCGAGATTATTTGTGAATTCATTGTATGGGGTAAATCTTCATTTTTTGCATGTCATCCTCATCCTTGTGCGTTTCTGTATATGATTGAGTCACATATCTACAAATAGAGGTTTGTGGGAAGTGAAATAGGAACAACGCTTGTGTCAGACAGGCGACTAATTATCGCAGTACCCATTTGTCGCTGCGACCAACTGTCGTTTTTCTAGTCTAATCATTGTATGTTTTGAAATATTACAGTTTAGGAATATTTAAAAAAAAAACAACTTTCCTAGAGCAAAACTTGAAATTTCAAATTATCCTAAGAGACAAAAATATTATTTTTCTTTTAGAGAAATTTTTCCTACGGAGACAAACTTTTCACCTGAAAATTTTTTTTTTCACTAATATATATTTCTCTTATTGGTACTTAGTAATAAGCATGTCTCTGACATTTTTGACTTCTTCTAATCTATGAAGTCTATTTTTTTTTGTATTACTTCAGATATGAAGAATAAACTTGTTACTATGTGTAAGTAAAAGAAAGAACCATGACTGCTTTTACTAATGTAATTCCGACATTGACTACGAAAACATTTTTTCACTCCGACTTCGAAGAATACTTTTGTCATGACTCCGTCGGAGTCGAATTTCGGAGTCTGATGTAAAATTCTATCAGTGACATATATATTTGCTACAAGACTATCTTATATAGTCATATGTGATGCATACAAATGCAAATGAAGAATTTCTTTTTTTATCTCATAAATTTTCATAAACTTAATATTATATATATCATTGAGTAATATTTATTTTCATGATGGCTACAATAAAAAATTTTTGTAAAAGCTAATTTAAAAGAATTATGTGATAACCATATGCTCATACAAACAATATATATGCATATTTATTATTCGTTTGTATAAAGACATTCATACAACATGGATGTAGCACGTGAAGTGATTTTTTTTCTGGATGACATAAAAGAAGAAAAAAAAAGAAGAAAACAAATATAGAAGAGCAAAGATTAAAAATAAGAACTAAAAGACGGCAAGCAAAGACAAAAGGCAGAAAACAACAATAATAGAATGTTTTCCTAAAAAATAAAAAACAAAAAAGGCTAAAGCAGAATACATATACCAGACAAATATATTAAACGATTGAACATAACTACCCTAGATAAAAAAAAAGATCTTCCTGATAAAACCTATATATGAATAATAAAGATATTCAGAAAAATAGATAATTTTTTTTTCTTTTATTTTCACATGCTCTTCAGATAATCTAGTTCTTGTAATTTATTATAAGTGTTCATTTTGGCTTAAACATTAGGTGCTAATAAATTTCGAAGTACTTCATCTTTAAGACAACCTTCAACAAATTCATCACGAGAAATATTTTTATCATCATTAAGATCTAATTTTTCCATTATATTCTTCACACGATTTTCTGGTGCATTGTCACCTTTACGATTTTCTTCACCTTAAAAAAAAAAGAAAAGAAAGAAAACAACAAATAATCAAAGTCTTCTAGAGATTAAACATAAAACAAAGTGCAAACCTAAAAGTTCATAAATAGCCGTAATCACTTTCGTCATTTCTTTCTTGTCGATCTAAACAAAAAAGAAAACAATAACTCAACGTGACATATTACTGAACTTTAGGACAAAAAAAAGTTAAGGATTAATCACGCGCGTAGATGACCATCGTAAGATAATAAGTGATGCAACATATATGTCGTGTGCTTACTATTGAGCGGATATGTACACATAGACAGGAGAAAAAAGTACGGTCTTTACTATCTTACTTGTCCATTGGCATTAAGATCATAGATATCAAAAGCAAGACCAAGTTTATCTCGTACATCACCATTTGAATTAATGTTTACAGCGAGTAAAAACTCAACAAAATCAATATAGCCATTATTATCCATATCAAATGTACGAAAGACTTGTAGACTATATTTTTCAGCTTCATGTTCTGGATAAAATTTTTTATACACTTCCGTAAATTGTCTAGGTGACAATTTTCCATTTGGACAATCACGTAAAAATGCTTGATGCCATTGACGAATTTGTTCAGGAGTATAATTTGTATTTTTTGTAAGACGATCAGTTGTATCATCGTCTAATTCAACACCAATAGTTTTGCTTTCTTTGTGACCCATTGTAGTAGGATTATTGAAAAAAAAACTAAATCTGAATATAGGTAAACGTAAAAATACAGCAAAAATATTTTTATAAATGGGATCATATGATAGAAATAACAAGAATGAATGCGAAACAAAATGAAAATGATAGAAAGAAAAAAAAGAAAGGTATACGAAAGGAGTAATACATATAAAAAAACAATAACACACAAAACAGTAAATGATGTGTTGTTCTGTGGCTAACACACGCATACAAGTTGCCTTTATGTTCTGTCTTCTCACTAATACAATTCTTTTTTCTTTCTCCATCCTACGACGACAAACGTTGTCGACAAGTCAGCAGCTTGCAAAAGAGAGTAAAGAGGAAAAATGGTTATCAAAGATGCACTATGCGCTTATACAAACGTCCAATTTATATTCGGTTTTTTAACAATTATTATGAGTTTGTATATGCTTTTTTGCTTACTGACGGCACATTGTAACAAGAGTGTGCGATGATGCGATACTATGGGTGTCCTTTTCATCTCATGCTTGTAATGCCATAGTCTTTGGTTAAAGAAGAAAAAGAAAGCATAGAAAATATATCTCCTGATAGCAGAAGTAATAGAAAGCAGCGGTAGAGCTTCTCTTAAAGACTCTAAGGATATAAGAGAAATAGGAAACGACAAAAACAATTGGTATTTTTCTTTTTTTTTCGATTGTTAGACATGGCCAAAGACGATAGATATATGCATGCAACAGCTGGCCCTATTTATACCACAGAATAGGAGCGATTGGTAGATTGTATATATAGTGTTATATCATAAATATATATATATATATTTATATTCAAAGCGACCGTAAGTCACATCAAGGAGATCAAGAATATTTTGATAAAAAATTCTATTAATCTCTCTTGAGATTTTTTCTTTTGTTTTTTATTCAAAATTACCTTTCCATTTTTATTCATATCATACATATCAAAAACTAATCGAAGTTTTTCTTTAATATCACCTAAAAAGAAAAGAAAAAAAATAGAATTGATTAAAAACTTTATTCCTAATCATTAATTTCTTTTTATTTTAAATACAAACCATGAGATGTTATATTCACAGCAAGCAGAAATTCAACAAAATCAATATAACCATTATTATCCGAATCTAAATTATAGAAGAGAACTTTGAAAGAATTGAAATTTTTTGAAAGTCAATATTTACCAAATGCTTTAAAAACTTGTGAACAAAAATTTTCAGCTTTACCTTCAGGATAAAATTTCTAAATGAAACAATAATATACAGTTTCTATACTAACTAATAAATGAATAATTTACTTTGTACACTTCTAAGAAGTTCCTTTTATCTAGTTTGCCATTAGGACAATCACTATATAATGAAAAGAAAAAAAATACATAGATATTAGTTCTTTTTTGTTGTTAGCTTTTTTTCTTTTATACTGAAGAAATCCTTTATGCCAATCGTGAATTTGTTGTTTTGTATATGTTGTATTTTTTGTTAATCGTTGAATTGCTTCATCAGACAAACGAGTTAATTCTTTTTCCTGTTTACTCTTCTTTTGTCCCATTTTGATTTTATTATTAATTATACAAAAAAATTTAAATTGTTTATGAAATACTTCTACAAAGAACATGACAATATATATATATATATAAATATTTATATCAAGAGACTATCGAAAACAAATTTGAGACGAAATATTATATGGTCCGTAACATAATCAATATTTTTTTCTTGCGAGTAGTTTGAGTTACATATAGAATGAATGAACGATATAACAAATAAATGCTCCATTTTGAGCATAGATCAAGGTGATATTCAACAAGAAAAACTGTACGCATAAATATACATTTGCACTCAACATTAATAAATATATGTATAAACGCAAAATAAATAGTTGGATTGAAGGCATACACTAAATGCTAACGAAAAAAAAAATATATATAGGCGCGTCCTCTTCCTTTGCTGCATCCTTTACTCTCTCATGACGACGATCGACGATGATCACTGCTGTAGTAACGCTAACATTGCTTATTCGTGGTTGTCAAAAAAAAAAAAGAGGCAACACGGCCGGGTAAACGAACGAGAAAGATAAATTAATGCTTTTTATCATTTTAACGTATTCTTTCTTTCCTCTTCGTTTTTTTTCTCTTGACTGTATCGTAATAACGACAAAACATTACACAAGCAATAAGCTCTGTACTCTTTTTATTATGATTATATTGGTTATCATTATTTTTTTATTTTCTCTTTATTGTTTTGATTAATATAAAAATAAATTGCAAAGGAAAATGTCTATATTGAATTAATAGAAACTTTCAATCGGACAATTAGAGAATTTATATTGTTTTGGTAATGGATTAATATGAGCCGATTTTGAACGTCCATAGATTTCAATAGCTTGTTGTGGCAAAATTCTCCAACCAATTTTCTATATAACAAAAAAAAAGAAAAAAAAAACATCATCATATATTACTCATTAATCAAAAGCAAAACAAAAATAACTCAAGATGCTCACGTCATTTTCTGTTTCAGGGAATGCTCCCAATAGACGTCGACGACGTTGACCTGCGAGACGTTTATGTAATGGTGGAAAGGCATTTGACGGTTGTTGCCATTCAGTACGTTTCAGTGAAATAAGACAGTTTTCACGAGAAATACCATGAACTTTTGCTATACTATCATACATCTATAATCCGTCATTAATAAGTAAAACTTTCTAAGATAATTAAACATATCTTACTTGTCTATATTCATCAATCAACCATGGATCAAATTTGGTTGTCCATGCTCGATGCGCTTCTTGTTCTTTATGAATAATTTCTTTTCTAATAAAAAATTCTTTTATTCTTGTTTCAATCATTCATTTTTTTTCTAGTTAATCGAATTACCTAGCTACATCCGCTGCATTATAATCTATAAATTCAATATTACTTGCTCGTGACAATGCAGTTACTGTTGGTCGACTACTAGTAGATACAGCACTTTTAATTGTTGTTCGAGCCGATGGTACATTAGTTGAAACTAAAAAAAAGATTGTTTTTTTTTTCTTTTTTTTGAAAATTAATTATTTTACTGATTTACCATGATGAGTGTTTCTTTGTGACATTTTGTATTTTAATTTATTTAAAAAGAAATCAATTCATTTAGTTTTTATATAAATGGGTTTCTTATATTTTTTGTTGTTGCCACAATTCTCGTTTAAATCATAGCGAAAAAAAAATCTATCGACAGAGAAACATTTAAAATGCATAACGACAATAGCAAACATACAAACGTTTTCTTGGCAGGTGGCTTCTTGACTTTCTCTTCATTTGACAAGAAAAAAAAAACTGCATTATTATTCTACTTTCTATTCTTGATTGAATTTTTTATAAACAAAACCAAGAGACAGAAAGAAAAATATTTTAAGATTAGATACTATAAATATTATATGCAATATATAAATTAATTTCTATGCAGATTACATTTGAATATCTTAAATAATGTTAGTATTTTATTTCTTTTTGACATTTTGATTGATACTTCAAGAATATCTACACTAAACAATAAAAAATGCTTGAAATAAAAATTTCATGCAATAAATACCTCATAAATCCTAGCATTTTTTTAAAATATACGATGAATAGTAGATTGCACACATTTCGAATATATTTAGACAACTTCAACAAAAAAAATAATTCATGATAGTTTTTGTCAAATAATAAGCTTTAAAAATACTCTAAACAATAGTATTCAAAATGATTCAACATAAACAATAAAGCCGCATAAGTTTTGAAGTATTTAATGGGTTCTATTTAAAGGTTATTCTGATTATTCACAGCATATTGCAATACCAAGGCAGTAAAACTTCCATGAAAAAGACAAACAAGACAATTAAATAGAGAAGAAATCGGTCAAGGTTTGTCACGTTCGCGATGTCAATGCCGCCTTTACAATCTCAATATTAGATTGCTGCCAAACAAAAGTAGAAAAATTCTTAGCAGTAATGGAATACCTACGAATTTCCATTAGTGTGAAAATCTGAAAGTTGAACTCAGTTATTGAAGATGTTTTCAAATATTTCGATATTGCCCTGTGTGCTTGTTTCCATGGTATCTTCAGCAAGAAAGTTTCTTTGTGTATATTTGTGTTTCCATGAATATTTAAATTTTATATATAATCTATTATTGAATTCAACTTTCTAGTTTGACATAAATGAAAAATTCTATTTTATTCAAGTATTGCTATGTCTATTTATTTGATAAAAATATTTCAATAATTGATTGATTAAAATCTACACATGTCAAATACATATGCATTTTTTACTTTACAATTTCTAAGAAATAAATATAGTTTAATTGAATAAGGAATCTTCAATGATTTACTATCATTGATATTCTGATATTTATTAATACTGACATTTTAATTAGAAGGAAAAATGTTATTCGTGAATCAAGTTATGTCAGCTTATCAACAACATAGTCTAAATAATAAGTCCAATCAAATACATTTATTCTTAGCTACATAGGGAAAATTGAAGATTGATTATTGTATGAGAATTAATTCCAACGAAAACGAAATAAATCTGCTATATATAATTTATGTAACGACTCATTTCTTATCGATAAACATTGGAAAATAATAATTGGAAAAAAATATATATCTGAAGAAGATGATAAATCTATGGTTGAAAAATTTTCTCGTCAGAAAAATAATTCTAACTAGTACTTTAATTTCATTAGTAGTTAAATTAACAGAAGTTGATTGAACAATGATGCATACATATAGACATTACACTATCATTAAATATGATATTATTGACAATAGCCTATTGAAATAATTGAATTTGTCTCCAACGGAACAAAACAGATATATGACAAATCCATTTTGTTATCGGCCCGACGACTAAAATAGTTCAATTTAGGGATATTGCCTACGATTATACTTAGAAATCTTTCTATATTATGAGAAAGTAAAGCAAAAAAATTATTGTTAATGATGTAAGAAGTTCAATAAGGCATATCAATAGATTCTTGAATAAATTAGATTAATGTAAATAACTTAAAATTGAATAGTCTACTTGTCCGAGTAATGCACAATCATGATCACATATTTCGATTAGATGAAGTATTTTCTCTTTTACTTCCGAACCACTAAGTATTATTCAATATAGGACGTATATATATATATATATATATTAAATTTCTTATCTTTTATCTAAATTATATGTACCCGTCCAAGTTATTTAAGTACAAGTTGTTGATGTAGGTCTTGCTAATTCTAGAACATATTGCGAAAATATTTCAAAGAAATATTGTCGTGTGTATGATAATATACTTTATAATCCGAAATGATTATATAATTCACAATATCTATTATTGATTTTGGTGGATAATTAGGATTCTAAAGACCAATCCAGTCAAAAGAATATTCTATATTAATTAATCTTTTACTTGAAGCACATTGACATTAACATATAAATGATTGATAGATATTCCTATCAACATCAACATCAATATCAATCGTGGTCTAAACACCGTTTATCTTTAATAGCTGGTTAATGCATTACTATCTACCAAGACTTTTATATATGAATATACATACACATACACTTAGAAATTTTCCATATTAGCGGTAAATCACCCCAATAAAACTCACTGAAATATCCCTGAAGTATGTTATTTAAATAATGATCACATATGTAATAGAATATATTCAATTTTTTACTGTGATAAAAAAAATAGTTTTTATTTTGAATCTTTGCACAAGTTTTATTTTAATTGATTTTCATACATGCACACATTGACAAATGAGTTGAGCTAGAAATGAATACACACATATGAGAAAAGAAAAAGGCACATAAACAATAGAGATTATGAAAAAAGACAAAAAACTTTTTTAAATAACAATTTCATTGGTTGCAATTTAAATATTTATTGTCACATAAGTCGACAACGACTTAAATATCGACGTTTTTTTCGTTTCTTTTTTATTGAATATTGATTTTGATTTTGTTGTCTTATTACACGAACAAGTTCATGAAATGCAGCATCAACATTGATTGGTGGAACTTTTGCACTGGTTTCAATATATGGGATTTGTAATTCATTTGCTAATTCACGACCTTCTTCTTCAGATATTTTTCTTAAATGAACTAAATCAATTTTATTTGCAACAAGAATCATTGGATAAGATTTTCTATTGCAAAAAAAAACAGGAAAAAGAAACAAACAGATGACTTTTTTGTGTATAATTCTTCAAAAAATGAAATACCTGTCTTTAACACGAAGTATTTGATTATAAAATTGTCGAGTATTTTTAAATGAATTAGGATCAATCACAGAATAAACAATAAGAAAACCATCACCTTTACGCATATATTGTTCACGTAAAGCAGAAAATTCTTCTTGACCAGCTGTATCAAGAACATCAAGTACACATACTTGTTTATCGACTTCAACGTGTTGAATATAACTATCTTCAATAGTTGGATCATAATCTTCAACAAACATTTTTTGAAAAAACTAAAATGAAAAATAAAACAGATCTTGATTTTGTTTTTTTGTTGAATTCTTTCGATCTGTA